ATGCTGTGCAGAGAGATATGGAAGGAGGGAGGGAGGGAGGGAGGGAGGGAGGGAGGGAGGGAGGGAGGGTGAAACTCAGGAGAACACCAGAGCAGCTGAGTCCAGTGACATTCAAACCATGACATCATGTGGTGTGTGTGTTAATTACAGCTCACTGCATTTCTGCTTAGAGAACATGAAAAGGTATAATCACGTGTTTAGAGTGTGAACTCAAATTGACTTATCAAACAGAGACAACGTGGTTGACACACACACACACATATACACAGACACATACATATACACAGACACACACACAGACACACACACACACACACACACACACGCAGACACACACACACATATACACAGACACACACACACACACAGACACACACACACACACACACACACAGACACACACACACACACACACAGATACACAGACACACACACACACACACACACACACACACACACACACACACACACACACACACACAGACAGACAGACAGACACACACAGACACTCACACATTAAAGCACATCCGCCGGCTTTCAACAATCTCTCTAGGGGTTTGACTGATGCTCTTTACACACAACATATCCTGACCTATATAGATTCAATCAGCATTTACATGACTACATGGTGTAAACACTTCATTAATTTGTTCATTCATTCATTCATTCGTTCATTCATTCATTCATTCGTTCATTCATTCGTTTACTCTTTCATTCAGTTCTTTATTTGAACAGGGACAATGTACAACACCAACAACACCAACACCAACAACAAGACCAACAACAACACCAATAACAACAAGAACAACAACAACACCACCAACAACAAGAACAAACAACAACAACAAAACAAACAACAACTACACCAACAACACCAACACCAACAACAACACCAACACCAACAACAACACCAAAAACAACAACACCAACATCAACAACACCAACATCAACACCACCAACACCAACAACACCAACACCACCAACAACATAAGTGTCAGTACACTGAGAAGTGATGTGCTGCACCAGATTACTACACTACAGTAACACCAGATTACTACACTACAGTAACACCAGATTACTGCACTACAGTAACACCAGATTACTACACTACAGTAACACCAGATTACTACACTACAGTAACACCAGATTACTACACTACAGTAACACCAGATTACTACACTACAGTAACACCAGAATTACACTACAGTAACACCAGATTACTACACTACAGTAACCCAATTACTACACTACAAACACCAGATTACTACACTACAGTACACCAGATTACTACACTACAGTAACACCAGATTATTACACTACAGTAACACCAGATTACTACACTACAGTAACACCAGATTACTACACTACAGTAACACCAGATTACTGCACTACAGTAACACCAGATTACTACACTACAGTAACACCAGATTACTACACTACAGTAACACCAGATTACTATACTACAGTAACACCAGAATACTACACAACAGTAACACCAGATACTACACTACAGTAACACCAGATTATTACACTACAGTAACACCAGATTACTACACTACAGTAACACCAGATTACTACACTACAGTAACACCAGATTACTACACTACCAGCCAAAAGTTTGGACACACCTACTCATTCAACTCTCATGTAACTCTAATGAATTTATCCTCTGCATCTGAGGTAATTCTGGGTCTTCCATTCCTGTGGCGGTCCTCATGAGTGCGAGTTTCATCATAGCGCTTGATGGTTTTTGCTACTGCACTTGAAGAAACTTTCAAAGTTCTTGAAATGTTCTGTATTGACTGACCTTCATGTCTTAAAGTAAAGGACTGTCGTTTCTCTTTGCTTATTTGAGCTGTTCTTGCCATAATATGGACTTGGTCTTTTACCAAATTGGGCTATCTTCTGTATACCCCCCCCCTACCTTGTCACAACACAACTGATTGGCTCAAATGCATTAAGAAGGAAATAAATTCCACAAATTAACTTTTAAGAAGGCACACCTGTTAATTGAAATGCATTCCAGGTGACTACATCATGAAGCTGGTTGAGAGAATGCCAAGAGTGTGCAAAGCTGTGGCTTTTTGAAGAATCTCAAATATAAAATATATTTTGATTTGTTTGACACTTTTTTGGTTACTACATGATTCCATATGTGTTATTTCATAGTTTTGATGTCTTCACTATTATTCTACAATGTAGAAAATAGCAAAAATAAAGAAAAACCCTTGAAAAAGTAGGTGTGTCCAAACTTTTGACTAGTACTGTACACTACAGTAACACCAGATTACTACACTACAGTAACACCAGATTACTACACTACAGTAACACCAGATTATTACACTACAGTAACACCAGATTACTATACTACAGTAACACCAGATTACTACACTACAGTAACACCAGATTACTGCACTACAGTAAAACCAGATTACTACACTACAGTAACATCATATTACTACACTACAGTAACACCAGATTACTACACTACAGTAACACCAGATTACTACACTACAGTAACACCAGATTACTACACTACAGTAACACCAGATTACTACACTACAGTAACACCATATTACTACACTACAGTAACACCAGATTACTACACTACAGTAACACCAGATTACTACACTACAGTAACACCAGATTACTACACTACAGTAACCACCAGATTACTACACTACAGTAACACCAGATTACTACACTACAGTAACACCAGATTACTACACTACAGTAACATAACCACCAGATATACTACCGTAACACCAGATTATACACACAGTAACACCAGATTACTACACTACAGTAACACCAGATTACTACACTACAGTAACATCAGATTACTACACTACAGTAACACCAGATTACTACACTACAGTAACACCAGAGAATACCTGAACTATATTGTACTGTACAAGACAGATCCCCTGATTGGTCAAAAAGGAAAAGGTGTGGCCTGTGTAGTCCAGAGGTTACAGCCGCTGACCCCAACACACACTCCCCTGTCTTTCCAACACTTTACTATCTTTTTTGAAATGGGTGATTCATCTCTGTGATTTTGCCATATAATATCTATCATTACCCAGATACTGTAGATTAGAATATCCATTATTTACCCAGATACTGTAGATTACAATATGTAACTTGTTTCAGGAAACTAGGCGTATATCGCACTTCACTACTTCACAGGAGAGGCATTTGAACGTAAACACTATTTTTTTTAAATCAAAATGCGTTCTTTGGCAGAAATACCTTCTGGAACATGTGAACTTTCATGTGCTTTAATAACAGACTTGTATTCCATCCGTACATACAAATAAAATGGTTAAATTACGAGCCTAGTTGGTTTAGCCACGGAAAAAGACAGGAACCTTCCCGTTTGCCATGAGCTGGACATGCCGGGAGATGAGTTCGGATTGGTCTGCCATGTAGCATGCTTCTGTCTATAACGTGAGCTGCTCAGTATGTGTTGCTAGTCCTTTCTACTGCTGCTTTTTTGAAAGATAAAACGTTAGCCATCGAGAACTACAAAAGTTTTGCTACTTTTCTCAACAACATTGATTCCATGAATTTAGCAGGCGCTTATCGACAGATCAGTTGGAAAAAGTGATGGGCTACTTTCTGTACATGCCATGGTCAGTGTGAACTGAAGTGACTTGACACAACGCTCGCCAAACAATATGAAGCTACAAACAAAACTGAGTTAAATAGTTCCAGTCTGCCGTGAAGCCTTCATCCATGTATACGGGTAAGAGTGTAGCTCCATTTTCAGATATTATAAGTTTTTTATTTTGTCAGAAAGTCGTTTTCATTGCAAGTTAAAGCATACTGTTCACTAGCTAGCTAACGTTAGCTTGCGGGCTCGCTAGCTAATGTTACGTGTATGATCTGTGTAGTAACATTATTTGAATCAGAAATCCATTTGCATTGCTAGTTATAGCCTAATGTTAGCTAGCTAACATTGAACCTAGTTGGTTAGCTCTTTAGCTACCTGCAGATTCATACTACAGCTATGATAATGTTTGTATTGGTAGTAGCATGAGTTGGGATTATGCCAGTTCATTGTTAAACTAGCAAGCTAGCTAGCTACATGTCTAAAACAAAAGACTCCACTTCGCCAGATGATTACATGACCCATCAAGTTAGCCAGGTGTGTCTGGGGATGATTACGGCCATCTATTCATGTGTACATATCTAGACAATAGTGACCCATCCACTTAGCTAGATGTGGCTGGGGGGTGGCTATAGCATTTCTTTCACATGACCCATCAATTTAGACAATTGTGTCAGGTAAGCGTCATCTAATATTTATAAAATATTTGTATCTGGACACTTTCTGTTTTTGATATTGCTACTATGCAAGTAACCATTTCACTGTACCGTTTACACCTTCTGTATCCTGTGCATGTGACAAATAAACATAGATTGTATTTGATATAGTGTGTGTTTACCAGAGACTGTAATGTGAAGAACAACATGACCTGCACCAAAGTCAGATTAGGATATAGGCCAAGGACTAGATAAAGGGTATTTTTACCTGGAGTTTCCCTTATTGTAGGCTTATACTTTACCCACTTTTAGTCTTGAAATCTTTGGTTGTTTACTAAACTACTCACTCTGTTTAGCACATGGCCTCACATGTGAAGCCTTAAAGATATGAATGGAGCTAAGGCTTAAGAGGGTGTGAACGATGCTGAATGGGTGTAGACAAAGAAGAGCTCTTTGTCCAGAGGTGTTGAATACCCAGAAGGTATTGAAAGCCCTTGTTAATTAAACCAGAGGTGTTGAATACCCAGAAGGTATTGAAGCCCTTGTTAATTAAACCAGAGGTGTTGAATACCCAGAAGGTATTGAAGCCCTTGTTAATTAAACCAGAGGTGTTGAATACCCAGAAGGTATTGAAAGCCCTTGTTAATTAAACCAGAGGTGTTGAATACCCAGAAGGCATTGAAGCCCTTGTTAATTAAACCAGAGGTGTTGAATACCCAGAAGGCATTGCATTAGAAAGGGATGGGGAGAACATCATATAACACAACAAAGGAAGTATCTTAATAACCAGGCCTCATATTCATAAAGCACCTCAGAGTAGGAGTACTGATCTAGGATCAGTTTTGCCCTTTTATATCATAATTAATAAAACTACGTGGACAAGTGGGGGAATCTGATCCTATATCAGCACTGGGTTATAGATAGACAATAAATGACTCACCCCCATTGGCCAGGTCCTTTGAGGCGATGACGAAGCCGAACCCTTCCCCCGGCCGTCTCCGTAGCTCCACCTCCTGACCCCTGACCCCTAGCATGGCCCCTCCCCCTCGTCTGTCCACCTGGCCCTTGGCCACAGCCCCCAGTCCTGCTCCTCCTCTCCCACCTCCAGGGGGCCTCGACACACCCAGGGCCCCACACACCGTCGTCCACCCCAAGCCAGTCCCTGGGTTCCAGGGTGAGGGTTACAGGGACTGAGTCCAGGAAGCTTGTGCTCTGGACCAGGGAGGGGAGGTCTGTGGAGGGCGAGGCTGGGGAGAGGCCACTGTGGCTGGGGGGGCTGTGGGGGAGGTGCAGGGGCACCAAGGCATCTGAGGTGGAGGAGGAGGCAGGCTGGTCGGATGGGGAGGGGAGGCCATGGGAGGAGGAGGGGCCCAGGGGAGAGGGGAGGGGCTTGTAGAGGGTAGAGACGTAGAGAAGATGGACCCTGAGAAGAGAGATAGAGGAGAGAGAGGAGATGAGAGAAGAAAGGGGGAGAGAAGAAAGGGGTTTTTGGGGGGGGGGGGGGTTTCCCCCCTTTTTTTTTTTTTACCCCCCTTTTTTCCCCCCTGGCTCCCCCCCCTTTTTCTCTCTCTCTTTCTCTCTCTTCTTTCTCCTTCCCTTTTCTCTTTTTTTTTTTTTTCCCCTCTCCCTTTTCCCCCTTTTTCCTTTTTTCCCCCCCTTTCTCTCTTTTTCCTCCTTTTCTTTCCCCCCTTTTTTCCTTTTTACCCTTTCCCCTTTTTTTTTCCCCTTTTTTTCCCGTTCTCCCGTTTTTTCCCCCCCCTGCCTTTTTTTTCCCCTTTCCTTTTTCCCCTTTTTTCCCCTTCTTCTCTTTTTTCTCCTCTTTTTTTTTCTCTTGTCTTCTTTCTTCTCTTTTTTTCCCCCTCTCTTTCTCCCTCCTCTTTTTCCTCTCTCCCCCTCCTCTCTCTCTTCTTTTCCTTTTTTCCCCTCTCTTCTCCCTTCTCCCCTTCCTTTTTTCCCCTCTCTTCTGCCCTTTTTTCTCTCTCTCTCCTTTGCCCCCCCCTCCCCCTTTTCCTCCCGCTCAATTTCCTATAAGAATGTCATATGAACCCCAAACCCCCCTTTTTCTGAGGGGAAACCCCCACGTAGTAAACCCGGGGAAAGCTAAAGTGGGTTTAAAACCTAAAGTACGAAGTTACATGTTACTGAAAAGTATTTAAACATTAAGAAACCGAGAGGGTACTCCAAAACCAGCTAGCAACGATACTTTATTAGTATTTTTTTAGGTAAAAACGTGTATTTGTGGTATAGTTTACTGTGCATTTTACATGTTATATAGTAAAAAAAATTATTTGTGGGAAATGTATACTATAGTATTTTCAGGTTTTCGGGAAAACAGGTATTTGGGTAGGTTTTGTACTAGATTTTATAAGGTTTTTAGCTAAATACATGGGATTTTTTGGTAGTAGAGTCCCATTTAAATTTATCAGGGTTTTAAGGTTAATACAGTGATTTTTGGGGATATGACAGGTAAATAAGTGTACTTGTGGAAGTAGTCGTACTAGTAGTAATGTATACAGGTTTATAGCTAAATACAGTGTAGGCTAGATGTGGAAGTAGTAAGTACTAGTAGTCATTATATACAGGTTTATAAGGTAACTACCAGTGGTATTTGTGGTTATAAGTAGTAACTAGTAGTATTTATACAGGTTTATACAAGGTAAAAATACAGTGTATTTGTGGTAGTAGTAGTACTAGTAGTATTTATAAGACAGGTTTATACAGGTAAATAACTGTATTTTGATGGTAGTAAGTAGTACTTAGGTAGTTATTTATATACAGGTTTATACAGGTAAATGACGTGTAGTTGTGGGTAGTAGTAGTACTAGGTAGTATTTATAAAAAAGGTGATACAGGTAAATACAGTGTACTTGTGGAAGTAGTAGTACTAGTAGTACTTATACAGGTTTTATAGCTAAATACAGTGTATTTGTGGTAGTAGTAGTACTAGGTAGTATTTATACAGGTTATACAGGTAAATACAGTGTATTTGTGGTAGTAGTAGTACTAGTAGTATTTATACAGGTTATACAGGTAAATACAGTGTATTTGTGGTAGTAGTAGTACTAGTAGTATTTATACAGGTTATCCAGGTTAATGGTCTTACCTACCTCCTCTGTTAACCAACAGCACTACTTCTCCCTGCTTGGTGTGTTTCTGGAGGACCCTCTGGACCTTCAATGTTCAGCAGAGGTCAATGTTAAACCAGGTCAATGTTAAAATAGGGCAACATTAAAATAGGTCAAAAATTGGCTAACATTAATTTACATCTCACACTGTGTTTTCAAAGGTCCCCGGAAAGGGATGCCTTTTTCAAATAAACATGTAGCGACATTCAATAAAACGTTTAGAAAAAACCTCTCATGTATATGTGTCTGTAAGTACTATCTGTGTCGGTGTACATGTCATTAACATTACTCAACATTGTCCGAATGTTCTTACTCCAGAGAGTGATGATCACTTGATAACTATTGATGATTACTATTGAGCGTTGTTGCAATAAACGACAATCAACCTCAGAACCAACCCAAATCTTAGCCTTTAGATGTAGAGCAGTCTCCAAAGCCGGTCGTACCTGAGAGAAGCTGAGGCTCTGCACGTCGGCTCCGTTGATCTTGACTATAGCATCCCCTGGCTGCAGGGAGGAGCACTGCCTTCTGTCCCATACCCTCTTCACCAGGGCCAGCTGCCCCCCCTGCCCCCCAGCCGTCACACTGAACCCCATCCCACCCCCCTCACTCCTCCCCAGGGGCACAGGGACCAGCTCCCCACCTCCAGCCCCACCAGTTACCCCCTCGCTGGCAGCGCTGTGGCCCCCATGGGGGTGGGTGTTGGCTGGGCATCCGTTGAAGCCGCAGGTGGGGACCTCCGTGGGCAGGGGGAGCATGAGGGAGGTCTGGGGCATGGGGGGCCGCTGGCAGGGGTCTCCAGGGGTGGTGGCGGTGCCCACCTCCGGCTGGGTCGGGGGCAGCTTGGAGAGGGAGATGGGCAGGGTGGAGGTGGAGAGGTCCCTCTGGTGCTGGACCATGGAGGAGGGGGTGGGGAGGGAGTTACCGTTGTAGCGCATCAGAGACCATCTGAGAGGGAAGAAGACAGCGAGGAAGAGGAGGGAGAAGATGAGGAAGAGGAGGGAGAAGAGGAGGAAGAAGGGGTGGAAGAGGGAAGAAGACAGCGAGGAAGAGGAGGGAGACAGGTGATAATGTTAGTTAGATGATATTCTGTCCCAGTCTGACACACACAGAGGAAACTAAGAACTGTGACCCTGGCTTGTAGATCAATCAATCCCATCAAATGTATTTCATAAAGCCCTTTTCACATCAGCAGTTGTCGCAAAGTGCTTCACAGACACCCAGCATGCAATGCAGAGGCAGAAGCACGGTGGCTAGGAAAAAACTCCCTAGAAAGGCAGGAACCTGGGAAGACACCTATAGAGGAACCAGGCTCTGAGGGGTGGCCAGTCCTCTGTTGCACTTCATGTCTTCATTTTGATCACCAACAAAAATCAGTCTCTGAGTCAATTTGCCGGGGTACAGCTTAGTCGAGGTAATTGAGATAATACAGTGCCTTGCAAAAGTATTCATCCCCCTTGGCGTTTTTCCTATTTTGTCGCATTACAACCTATAATTTAAATTGATTTTTTATTTGGAGTTCATGTAATGGACATACACAGAATAGTCAAAATTGGTGAAGTGAAATGAAAAAAAGAACTTGTTTCAAAAAAGTATAAAAAATAAATAACGGAAAATTGGTGTGTGCATATGTATTCACCCCCTTTGCTATGAAGGCCCTAAATAAGATCTGGTGCAACCAATTACCTTCAGAAGTCACATAATTAGTTAAATCTGTGTGCAATCTAAGTGTCACATGATCTGTGACATTTTCTTAGTATATATACACCTGTTCTGAAAGGCCCCAGAGTCTGCAACACCACTAAGCAAGGGTCACCACCAAGCAAGCGTCACCATGAAGACCAAGGAGCTCTCCAAACAGGTCAGGGACAAAGTTGTGGAGAAGTACAGATCAGGGTTGTGTTATAAAAAAATATCAGAAACATTGAACATCCCACGGAGGACCATTAAATCCATTATTAAAAAATGGAAAGAATATAGCACCACAACAAACCTGCCAAGAGAGGGCCGCCCACCAAAACTCACGGACCAGGCAAGGAGGGGATTAATCAGAGAGTCAACAAAGAGACCAAAGATAACTCTGAAGGAGCTGCAAAGCTCCACAGCGGAGATTGGAGTATCTGTCTATAGGAATACTTTAAGCCGTACACTCCACAGAGCTGGGCTTTACGGAAGAGTGGCCAGAAAAAATCCATTGCTTAAAGAAAAAAAGAAGCAAACACGTTTGGTGTTCGCCAAAAGACATGTGGGAGACTCCCCAAACATATGGAAGAAGGTACTCTGGTCAGATGAGACTAAAATTAAGCTTTTTGGCCATCAAGGAAAACGCTATGTCTGGTGCAAACCCAACACCTCATCACCCCGAGAACACCATCCCCACAGTGAAGCATGGTGGTGGCAGCATCATGCTGTGGGGATGTTTTTCATTGGCAGGGACTGGGAAACTGGTCAGAATTGAAGGAATGATTGATGCCGCTAAATACAGGGAAATTCTTGAGGGAAACATGTTTCAGTCTTCCAGAGATTTGAGACTGGGACGGAGGTTCACCTTCCAGCAGGACAATGACCCTAAGCATACTGCTAAAGCAACACTCAAGTGGTTTAAGGGGAAACATTTAAATGTCTAGGAATGGCCTAGTCAAAGCCCAGACCTCCAGACCTCAATCCAATTGAGAATCTGTGGCATGACTTAAAGATTGCTGTACACCAGCGGAACCCATCCAACTTGAAGGAGCTGGAGCAGTTTTGCCTTGAAGAATGGGCAAAAATCCCAGTGGCTAGATGTGCCAGGTTTATAGAGACATACCCCAAGAGACTTGCAGCTGTAATTGCTGCAAAAGGTGGCTCTACAAAATATTGACTTTGAATATGAATAGTTATGCACACTCAAGTTTATAGTTTTTTTTGTTTTATTTCTTGTTTATTTCACCCCCCAAAAATTGTACATCTTCAAAGTGGTAGACATGTTGTGTAAATCAAATGATACAAACCCCCCAAAAATCAATTTTAATTCCAGGTTGTAAGGCAACAAAATTGGAAAAATGCCAAGGGGGGTGAATACTTTCGCAAGCCACTGTATGTACATGTAGGTAGGGGTAAAGTGACTATGCATAGATAATAATAAGCAAGTAGCAGCAGCCGAAAAAAAAGGGGGTGTCAATGCAAATAGTCCGGGTAGCCATTTGATTAACTGTTCAGCAGTCTTATTGCTTGGGGGTAGAAGCTGTTAAGGAGCCTTTTGGACCTAGACTTGGCGCTCCGGTACCGCTTGCCGTGCGGTAGCAGAGAGAACAGTCTGACTAGGGTGGCTGGAGTCTTTGACAATTTTTAGGGCCTTCCTCTGACACCACCTGGTATAGAGGTCCTGGATGGCAGGAAGCTCGGCCCCAGTGATGTACTGGGCTGTACGCACTACCCTCTGTAGGGCCTTGCGGTCGGAGGCCGAGCAGTTAACATACCAGGCGGTGATGCAACCAGTCAGGATGCTCTCAATGATTCAGCTACAACAACATGGTGAAACATGAGGAGAGGTTTGAAAACAACCCAGTTAGGTTTAGTTAGTTAGTTAGTTAGATATTTAGTTAGGGTTAGTTACCTCTGCGTCGCTCCACCCGAGGCTCCTTCCTCTGAGTCACTCTGGCTAGCGGAGGTGGAGGTTCGTTCAGGCGGGGGAGGAGGGGGGATGCCCCTGCTGTGAGAGGAGGAGGGGGCACAGGCTGAGCTGGCGGAAATGCCAGGGGTTCCGTTAGACATCGGGTAGGAGGGCGGCGCAGAGACCAGGCCTGCCGCGTTCCCGTTAGCGTCCAGCCCCGACCCTGAGTTTCCCGCCACTCTGAGATAGTTTCCGTTGGGATGAGACAGGCTACGATTCAGGTTAGCCAGGCCGGGAGGGTTGGGGGGGCTCGGCAGGGCCAGGACCGGGGGTGGAGAGGGGCTGAGCGGCGGCTGTGGAGGGAGGCGTGGCTGCAGCGCTGAGGGGTTCCAGAGGAGAGGAGGAGGAGGCGGAGGAGGTCAGGGGTTGTTTGGGACAGCCGTCGGGGTTGTAAAGCATGGGGTAGCCTCTCCGTAACACAACGTCCACACTGTGACCCACAGGGACAGACTGCAACATCTCTACCACCTCTTTATGAGACAGACCCAGGACACAGCTGTCATTGATGTAGACCAGGATATCAGCTGGAGAACAGAGAGAGACCATGTGTTATACCATCCACTACTATAGACCAGTATGTAGTATATAATATACTACTATAGATCAGTATGTAGTATATCTACTACTATAGATTAGTATGTAGTCTATCATCTACTACTATAGATCAGTATGTAGTACATCATCTACTACTATAGATCAGTATGTAGTATATCATCTACTAATATATATCAGTATGTAGTATATCATCTACTACTATATATCAGTATGTAGTATATAATCTACTACTATAGATTAGTATGTAGTATATCATCTACTACTATAGATTAGTATGTAGTATATCATCTACTACTATAGATCAGTATGTAGTATATAATATACTACTATAGATCAGTATGTAGTACATCATCTACTACTATAGATCAGTATGTAGTATATAATATACTACTATAGATCAGTATGTAGTACATCATCTACTACTATAGATCAGTATGTAGTATATCATCTACTAATATATATCAGTATGTAGTATATCATCTACTACTATATATCAGTATGTAGTATATCATCTACTACTATAGATAAGTATGTAGTATATCATCTACTACTATAGATCAGTATGTAGTATATCTACTACTATAGACCAGTATGTAGTATATCATCTACTACTATAGACAAGTATGTAGTATATCATCTACTACTATAGATCAGTATGTAGTATATCTACTACTATATATCAGTATGTAGTATATCATCTACTACTATAGATCAGTATGTAGTATATCTACTACTATAGATCAGTATGTAGTATATCTACTACTATAGATCAGTATGTAGTATATCATCTACTACTATAGATTAGTATGTAGTATATAATCTACCACTATAGATCAGTATGTAGTATATCATCTACTACTATAGATCAGTATGTAGTATATCATCTACTACTATATATTAGTATGTAGTATACCATCTACTACTATAGATTAGTATGTAGTATATCATCTACTACTATAGATAAGTATGTAGTATATCTACTACTATAGATCAGTATGTAGTGTATAATCTACTACTATAGATTAGTATGTAGTATATCTACTACTATAGATCAGTATGTAGTATATCATCTACTACTATAGATTAGTATGTAGTATATAATCTACTACTATAGATCAGTATGTAGTATATAATCTACCACTATAGATTAGTATGTAGTATATAATCTACTACTATAGATTAGTATGTAGTATATAATCTACCACTATAGATCAGTATGTAGTATATAATCTACCACTATAGATCAGTATGTAGTATATCATCTACTACTATAGATCAGTATGTAGTATATAATCTACTACTACAGATTAGTATGTAGTATATAATCTACTACTATAGATCAGTATGTAGTATATCATCTAATACTATAGATCAGTATGTAGTATATCATATACTACTATAGATTAGTATGTAGTATACCATCTACTACTATAGATTAGTATGTAGTATATCATCTACTACTATAGATCAGTATGTAGTATATCTACTACTATAGATCAGTATGTAGTGTATAATCTACTACTATAGATTAGTATGTAGTATATCTACTTCTATAGATCAGTATGTAGTATATCTACTACTATAGATCGGTATGTAGTATATCTACTACTATAGATCAGTATGTAGTATATCATCTACTATTATAGATTAGTATGTAGTATATAATCTACCACTATAGATCAGTATGTAGTATATCATCTACTACTATAGATCAGTATGTAGTATGTCATCTACTACTATATATTAGTATGTAGTATATCATCTACTACTATAGATCAGTATGTAGTGTATAATCTACTACTATAGATTAGTATGTAGTATATCATCTACTACTATAGATCAGTATGTAGTATATCATCTACTACTATAGATCAGTATGTAGTATATCATCTACTACTATAGATCAGTATGTAGTATATCATCTACTACTATAGATTAGTATGTAGTATATAATCTAATACTATAGATCAGTATGCAGTATATCATCAACTACTATATATTAGTATGTAGTATACCATCTACTACTATAGATCAGTATGTAGTATACCATCTACTACTATAGATCAGTATGTAGTATATCATCTACTACTATAGATCAGTATGTAGTATATCATCTACTACTATAGATTAGTATGTAGTATATAATCTACCACTATAGATCAGTATGTAGTATATAATCTACTACTATAGATTAGTATGTAGTATATAATCTACCACTATAGATCAGTATGTAGTATATAATCTACTACTATAGATTAGTATGTAGTATATAATCTACCACTATAGATCAGTATGTAGTATATAATCTACCACTATAGATCAGTATGTAGTATATCATCTACTACTATAGATCAGTATGTAGTATATAATCTACTACTATAGATTAGTATGTAGTATATAATCTACTACTATAGATCAGTATGTAGTATATCATCTACTACTATAGATCAGTATGTAGTATATAATCTACTACTATAGACCAGTATGTAGTATATCATCTACTACTATAGATCAGTATGTAGTATATCATCTACTACTATAGATCAGTATGTAGTATATCTACAACTATAGATCAGTATGTAGTATATCATCTACTACTATAGATTAGTATGTAGTATATAATCTACCACTATAGATCAGTATGTAGTATATCTCTACTACTATAGATCAGTATGTAGTGTATATATCTACTACTATATTAGTATGTAGTATACCATTACTACTATAGATTAGTATGTAGTATATCATCTACTACTATAGATCAGTATGTCGTATATTTACTACTATAGATCAGTATGTAGTTATATCTACTACTATAGATTAGTATGTAGTATATATCTACTACTATAGATCAGTATGTAGTATATCATCTACTACTATAGATAGTATGTCGTATATAATCTACCACTATAGATCAGTATGTAGTATATCATCTACTACTATAGATTAGTATGTAGTATATAATTTACACTTATAGATCATTTTGTAATATCAATCTATACTATAGACTTAGTATTTGTTTATATGCCCATGGAATCGATACCCACTACCCTGGTCAGTATGTAGTTATCATCTACACTGATAATCTAGTAGTGCATATAATCTACCCTATAGATCAGTATGAGTATATAATTGCACCTAGTCATGTAGTTCGGTCATCTACCACTATTAGACAGTATGTAGTGACATAGATCATACCTACTATACAGATTCAAGTATGTAGTATATCATCTACTCTATAGATAGTATGTAGTATATAATCTACACTATAGATCAGTATGTAGTATATAATCTACTACTATAGATAGTATGTAGTATATAATCTACCACTATAGATCAGTATGTAGTATATCATCTACTACTATAGATCAGTATGTAGTATAATCTACTACTATAGATTAGTATGTAGTATTAATCTACTACTATAGATCAGTATGTAGTATATCATCTACTACTATAGATCAGTATGTAGTATATCTACTACTATAGATTCAGTATGTAGTATACATCTACTACTATAGATTAGTATGTAGTATATCATCTACTACTATAGATCAGTATGTAGTATATCTACTATATATCAGTATGTATAGATATAGTACTATATAGTACGTAGTATCATCTACTACTATAGATTAGTATGTAGTATATAATATACTATTATAGATTAGTATGTACGGTATCATCTACTACTATAGATCAGTATGTAGTATATAATATACTATTATAGATTAGTATGTACGGTATCATCTACTACTATAGATTAGTATGTAGTATATCATCTACTACTATAGATCAGTATGTAGTATATCTACTACTATAGATCAGTATGTAGTATATAATCTACTACTATATCAGTATGTAGTATATCATCTACTACTATAGATCAGTATGTAGTATATAATCTACTACTATATCAGTATGTAGTATATCATCTACTACTATAGATTAGTATGTAGTATATAATATACTATTATAGATTAGTATGTACGGTATCATCTACTACTATAGATCAGTATGTAGTATATCATCTACTACTATAGATCAGTATGTAATATATCATCTACTACTATAGATCAGTATGTAGTATACCATCTACTACTATAGATCAGTATGTAGTATATCATCTACTACTATAGACCAGTATGTAGTATATCATCTACTACTATAGATCAGTATGTAGTATATCATCTACTACTATAGATCAGTATGTAGTATATAATCTACTACTATAGATCAGTATGTAGTATATCATCTACTACTATAGATCAGTATGTAGTATATCTAAAGTGAGAGGTGATAGCATGTGTGTGTGGTGCATTCCTGTCTACAGCCTCAGCACGTGAGAGGGCTTGATTGTGTGTGTGTGTGTGTTTGTGTGTGACAGTGGGATTAAATTCTCTGGGCCCAGTAGAGCAGGATTAGGAATAGATTAGGAGATTCTGACCACGAGAAAACCTCACAACCACTAAAATCTGGGACAGAGAGAGAGAGAGAGAGAGAGAGAGAGAGAGAGAGAGAGAGAGAGAGAGAGAGAGAGAGAGAGAGAGAGAGAGAGAGAGAGAGAGAGAGCCCTATTAGAAGAGATGAAAGGATAGGGCAGAGAGAATATAAACAGAGATGTTCTCACATTCTTCACCTCGCTTGCTCCGTTAGGTGCCATCTGTCAGTTTAACTAACTAATACAGAAATCAGCAGGGGTTATTGAGTGTTCCTGTGTTAATCTTTCCTACCTATGTCAATCCTGCCTCTGTTAATCATGCCTGTGTTAATCATACTTGAATGTATCCTCCCTGTGTTAATAATATCTGTATTAATCCTACATGTGTTGAGTGTGATACCATGTTAATGCTACCTGTGTTGAGAGTACCTGTGTTAATCTGTATATACCTGTGTTAAGTGTACCTTTGTTAATCTGTATATACCTGTGTTGAGTGTACATGTGTTAATCTGTATATACCTGTGCTGAGTGTACCTGTATTAATCTGTATATACAGTACAAGTCAAAAGTTTGGACACACCTACTCATTCAAGGGTTGTCCTTTATTTTTACAATTTTTTACATTGTAGAATAATAGTGAATACATAAAAACTATGAAATAACACATATGGAATCATGTATTAACCAAAAAAAGTGTTAAACAAATCCAAATACATTTTATATTTGAGATTATTCATCAAATAGCCACCCTTTGCCTTGATGACAGCTTTGGCATTCTATCAATCAGCTTCACCTGAAATGCTTTTCCAACAGTCTTGAAGGAGTTCCCACATATGCTGAGCACTTGTTGGCTGCTTTTCCTACACTCTGCCGTCCGACTCATCCCAAACCATCTCAATTGGGTTGAGGTCGGGGGAGGCCAGGTCATCTGATGCAGCACTCCATCACTCTCCTTCTTGGTAAAATAGCCTTTACACAGCCTGGAGGTGTGTTGGGCCATTGTCCTGTTGAGAAACAAATTATAGTCCCACTAAGCCCAAACCAGATGGGATGGCGTATCGCTGCAGAATGCTGTGGTAGCCATGCTGGTTAAGTGTGCCTTGAATTCTAAATAAATCAGACAGTGTCACCAGCAAAGCACCCCCACACCATAACACCTCCTCCTCCATGCTTTACGGTGGGAACTACACATGCGGAGATCATCCGTTCACCCACACTGCGTCTCACAAAGACACAGCGATTGGAACCAAAAATCTCCAATTTGGACTACAGACCAAAGGACACATTTCATCGGCTAATGTCCATTGCTCGTGTTTCTTGGCCAAGCAGTCTCTTCCTTATTATTGGTGTCCTTTAGGTTTTCTTGCAGCAATTCGACATGAAGGCCTGATTCACACAGTCCCTCGAAAAGTTGATGTTGAGATGTGTCTGTTGACTTGAACTCTGTGAACATTTATTTTGGGGCTGCAAGTTCTGTAGAGGCTGGTAACTCTAACGAAATGTATCCTCTGCAGCAGAGGTTAACTATGGGTCTTCCATCCATGGCGGTCCTCCATGAGAGCCAGTTTCATCATAGCGCTTGATGGTTTTTTGCGACTGCACTTGAAGAAAGAAACTTTCAAAATTTCTTGAAATGTTCCGTATTGACTGACCTCATGTCTTAAAGTTAATGATGGACTGTCGTTTTCTCATTTGCCTGTATTGTGAACTGTTTCTTGTGCCCTCAATATGGACTTGGCTTATCTTCCTGTATACCCCCCCTACCTTGACCACAAACACAACTGATTGGCTGAAACGCATTAAGAAGGAAATAAATTCCCACAAAATTAACTTTTAACGAGGCACACCTGTTAATTGAAATGCATTCCAGGTGACTACCTCATGAAGCTGGTTGAGAGAATGCCAAGAGTGTGCAAAGCTGTCATCAAGGCAAAGGGTGGCTATTTAAAGAATCTCAAATATAAAATATATTTGGATTTGTTTAACACTTTTTTGGTTACTACATGATTCCATATGTGTTATTTCATAGTTTTGATGTCTTCACTATTATTCTACAATGTAGAAAATAGTAAAAAATAAAGAAAAACCCTTGAATGAGTAGGTGTGTCCAAACATTTGACTGGTAGTGAACCTGTGTTAATCCTGCCTGTGTTAATCTGTATATACCTGTGTTGATCCTACCTGTGCTTAGAGCAGGTGATCCTCCTGGTGTAACGCTGTAGACCTGGAGGAACTCTCTCTGTCTGCTGCCTCCCACTATGTTGAAGCCGAACCCTCGCGGCCCTTTAGACAGACGGGTGTGGATGGAATAGCCCTTCAGCTCTGCCGGCTTGTCCGTGAACGCAGGCACTGGCATGGGGACGGGGAAGATATACAACAGGCTGTTTTCATATGAAACGTTTTATGAACGCCAGGGAACTGGCAGCTACAGGGAGACTGTTGCTATAGTATTTATTTAACCTTTATTTACCCAGGTTAGTCTCATAGAAGTAAAATCATGTATAGAGATAGCACAGGCCAGGCCACATCTCTCTATATCTCTTTCTATCTCTTATACAGACTGTCCATGTGTATTCACATAACAGACAGAGCTACAGTACCGCGTCTGTATCCAAGATTTTACAACTGATTCTCCATCGCCCTCAATTATATGTATTACCACTGCTCTCTGTGCTGTTCAAGTAAGAAATGCATTTTTTGTAATACACAACGTTACATGGCAAGAGAATATTTGACACATTTTCCTGTCTTTGAATTGTTATTTTTGTTATCGACAATTAAAATGCAGAAAATATAGAAATATGGCTCTATTTCAAATGAACCGAACAACAGAGAGCCTCAGCTCAGCGCTTGACAAGACTTGACTCAACATGAAAGAGACTAAGTGAGATGAGAGACAGTGAGGATAAAGAAGAGGCGGGGGTGGGAGGGAGGGAGGGAGGGAGGGAGAGAGAGGGAGGAAGGTGGGGAGGTTGGGGAAGTAAGATTTTTTTTAATATCTCAAGAGTGGGTTTAGAGGGTGACAGGTAGAGGGAAGAGAGACGACAGGAGAGATGGGGTTAAGAGGAGCTGACAGGGTAGAGTGGGTTTAAGAGGAGCTGACAGGGTAGAGTGGGTTTAAGAGGAGCTGACAGGGTAGAGTGGGTTTAAGAGGAGCTGACAGGTAGAGTGGGTTTAAGAGGAGCTGACAGGGTAGAGTGGGTTTAAGAGGAGCTGACAGTAGAGGGTTTAGAGAGCTGACAGGGTAGAGTGGGTTTAAGGGAGTGACTAGGTGGGTTTAAGAGGAGCTGACAGTAGAGTGGGTTTAAGAGGAGCTGACAGTAGAGTGGGTTTAAGAGGAGCTGACAGGGTAGAGTGGGTTTAAGAGGAGCTGACAGTAGAGTGGGTTTAAGAGGAGCTGACAGTAGAGTGGGTTTAAGAGGAGCTGACAGGGTAGAGTGGGTTTAAGAGGAGCTGACAGGGTAGAGTGGTTTAAGAGGACTGACAGGGTAGAGTGGGGTTAAGAGGAGCTGACAGTAGAGTGGGTTTAAGAGGGGCTGACAGTAGAGTGGGTTTAAGAGGAGCTGACAGGGTAGAGTGGGTTTAAGAGGAGCTGACAGGGTAGAGTGGGTTTAAGAGGAGCTGACAGGGTAGAGTGGGTTTAAGAGGAGCTGACAGGGTAGAGTGGGTTTAAGAGGAGCTGACAGGGTAGAGTGGGTTTAAGAGGAGCTGACAGTAGAGTGGGTTTAAGAGGAGATGACAGGGTAGAGTGGGTTAAGAGGAGCTGACAGGGTAGAGTGGGTTTAAGAGGAGCTGACAGTAGAGTGGTTTAAGAGGAGCTGACATGGTAAGAGTGGGTTTAAGAGGAGCTGACAGGGTAGAGTGGGTTTAAGAGGAGCTGACAGGGTAGAGTGGGTTTAAGAGGAGCTGACAGGGTGGAGTGGGTTTAAGGGGAGCTGACAGTAGTGGGTTTAAGAGGAGCTGACAGGGTAGAGTTGGTTTAAGAGGAGCTGACAGGTAGAGTGGGTTTAAGAGGAGCCTGACAGGGTAGAGTGGGTTTAAGAGGAGCTGACAGTAGAGTGGGTTTAAGAGGAGCTGACAGGGTAGAGTGGGGTTTAAGAGGAGTTTGACAGGGTAGAGTGGGTTTAAGAGGAGCTGACAGTAGAGTGGGTTTAAGAGGAGCTGACAGTAGAGTGGGTTTAAGAGGAGCTTGACAGGGTAGAGGTGGGTTTAAGAGGTGCTGACAGGGTAGAGTGGGGTTTAAGAGGAGCTGACAGGGTAGAGTGGGTTTAAGAGGAGCTGACAGGGTAGAGTGGGTTTTAAGAGGACTGACAGGGTAGAGTGGGTTTAAGAGGAGCTGACAGGATAGTGGGTTTAAGAGGAGCTGACAGGGTAGAGTGGGTTTAAGAGGAGCTGACAGGTAGAGTGGGTTTTTAAGAGGAGCTGACAGTAGAGTGGGTTTAAGAGGAGCTGACAGGGTAGAGTGGGTTTAAGAGGAGCTGACAGGTAGAGTGGGTTTAAGAGGAGCTGACAGTAGAGTGGGTTTAAGAGGAGCTGACAGGGTAGAGTGGGTTTAAGAGGAGCTGACAGTAGAGTGGTTTAAGAGGAGCTGACAGGGTAGAGTGGGTTTAAGAGAAGCTGACAGTAGAGTGGGTTTAAGAGGAGCTGACAGTAGAGATGGGTTTAAGAGGAGCTGACAGGGTAGAGTGGGTTTAAGAGGAGCTGACAGGGTAGAGTGGGTTTAAGAGGAGCTGACAGGGTAGAGTGGGTTTAAGAGGAGCTGACAGGGTAGAGTGGGTTTAAGAGGAGCTGACAGGTAGTGGGTTAAGGAGCTGGGACAGTAGAGTGGTTTAAGAGGGGTGACGTAGAGGGGTTTAAGAGGAGCTGACAGGGTAGAGTGGGTTTAAGAGGAGCTGACAGTAGAGTGGGTTTAAGAGGAGCTGACAGGGTAGAGTGGGTTTAAGAGGAGCTGACAGGGGTAGAGTGGGTTTAAGAGGAGCTGACAGGGTAGAGTGGGTTTAAGAGGAGCTGACAGGGTAGAGTGGGTTTAAGAGGAGCTGACAGGGTAGAGTGGGTTTAAGAGGTGCTGACAGGGTAGAGTGGGTTTAAGAGGAGCTGACAGGGTAGAGTGGGTTTAAGAGGAGCTGACAGGGTAGAGTGGGTTTAAGAGGAGCTGACAGGGTAGAGTGGGTTTAAGAGGAGCTGACAGTAGAGTGGGTTTAAGAGGAGCTGACAGGGTAGAGTGGGTTTAAGAGGAGCTGACAGGGTAGAGTGGGTTTAAGAGGAGCTGACAGGGTAGAGTGGGTTTAAGAGGAGCTGGACAGGGTAGAGTGGGGTTTAAGAGGAGCTGGACAGGGTAGAGTTGGGTTTAAGAGGAGCTGACAGGGTAGAGTGGGTTTAAGAGGAGCTGACAGGGTAAAGTGGGTAGATAGAAAGGTGGAACTAAGAGACACACACAGAAGGCTAGGGGTATGGAGACTCACACTCTGTTTTGCTGAGGATCTCCCTGCTCTGAGCTCTGGGGTCCAGCCAGCTGGTGGTCTTAGAGATATGACTGAGGGGAGGAAGAGTTAATAAGCATCATCATCATCATCATCATCATCACAATAACCTGTACCTCATACCACACCATATCTTCATGACTTCACTCTCACACCACTCACTCCTCTCTCTCTACTCACTATATCTAGTAAAGCTCTACTCTCTCTCTACTCACTCTAAGATCTCCTCTCTCTCTACTCACTCTAAGATCTACTCCTCTCTCTACTCACTCTATCTAGTAAAGATCTCCTCTCTCTCTCCTCACTCTAAGATCTACTCTCTCTCTACTCACTCTATCTAGTAAAGATCTCCTCTCTCTCTCCTCACTCTAAGATCTACTCTCTCTCTCTACTCACTCTAAGATCTCTCTCTCTCTCTACTCACTCTAAGATCTACTCTCTCTCTACTCACTCTATCTAGTAAAGATCTCCTCTCTCTCTACTCACTCTAAGATCTACTCTCTCTCTACTCACTCTATGTAGTAAAGATCTCCTCTCTCTACTCACTCTACAGATCTAATCTCTCTCTTACTCTAGACTCTCTCTACTCATTTAAGATCTACTCTCTCCTCTACTCACTCTAAGATCTACTCTCTCTCTACTACTCTAAACTCTCTCTATCATTAAGACTCCTCTCTCTCTACTCACTCTAAGATCTACTCTCTCTCTCATCTTCTCTCCTTACTATCTAGTAAAGATCTACTCTCTCTCTACTCACTCTAAGATCTCTTCTCTCTCTCTACTCACTCTAAGATCTACTCTCTCTCTACTCACTCTAAGATCTACTCTCTCTACTCACTCTAAGATCTACTCTCTCTCTACTCACTCTAAGATCTACTCTCTCTCTACTCACTCTATAAGATCTACTCTCTCTCTCTACTCACTCTAGATCTACATTATCCTACTCACTCTAAGATCTCTCTCTCTACTCACTCTAAGATCTACTCTCTCTCTCTACTCCTCTATCTATAAAGATCTACTCTCTCTCTCTCACTCTAAGATCTACTCTCTCTCTACTCACTCTATAGTAAGATCTCCTCTCTCTCTACTCACTCTAAGATCTACTCTCTCTCTCTACTCACTCTAAGATCTACTCTCTCTCTACTCACTCTAAGATCTACTCTCTCTCTCTACTCACTCTATCTAGTAAAGATCTACTCTCTCTCTACTCACTCTAAGATCTACTCTCTCTCTCTACTCACTCTATCTAGTAAAGACTCCTCTCTCTCTACTCACTCTAAGATCTACTCTCTCTCTCTACTCTATAAGACTCTCCTCTACTCTAAGATCTACTCTCTCTCTCTACTCACTCTAAGATCTACTCTCTCTCTACTCACTCTAAGATCTACTCTCTCTCTACTCACTCTATGTAGTAAAGCTCCTCTCTCTCTACTCACTCTATGTAGTAAGGCTCTCCTGAGTCGCTGAAGGCCAGCTCCCAGTTCTCGGGCAGTGCCCCTCCTCCTCGTGTGGCGATGCTACTCCCTCCGTTCTCCGCTCCCACGCCGTCCTTTGAGTCCCAGGATTGGCTGAGAGCTAGCGTTGTGGCCGGGACGCTGCTAATGCCCCCTGAACCTCCTGCCAAGACAACACACACATACAGGCGGCAGGTAGCTTAGTGGTTAAGAGCGTTGTGCCAGTAACCGAAAGGTCGCTGGTTCTAATCCCCAAGCCGACTAGGTGAAAAATCTGTCAATGTGCCGTTGAGCAAGGCACTTAACCCTAATTGCTCCTGTAAGTCGCTCTGGATAAGAGCGTCTGATAAAATGTAAATGTAAGTCGGAAGTTTACATACACTTAGGTTGGAGTCAATAAAACCCGTTTTTCAACCACTCCACAAATTTCTTGTTTGGCAAGTCGGTTAGGACATCTACTTTGTGCATGACACAAGTAATTTTTCCAACAATTGTTTACAGACAGATTATTTCACTTATAATTCACTGTATCACAATTCCAGTGGGTCAGAAGTTTACATACACTAAGTTGACTGTGCCTTTAAATAGCTTGGGAAATTCCAGAAAACTATGTAATGGCTTTAGAAGCTTCTGATAGGCTAATTGACATCATTTGAGTCAATTGGAGGTGTACTTGTGGATGTATTTCAAGGCCTACATTCAAACTCAGTGCCTCTTTGCTTGACATCATGGGAAAATCAAAAGAAATCAGCCAAGACCTCAGAAAGAAAAGTCTGGTTCATCCTTGGGAGCAATTTCCAAACGCCTGAAGGTACCACGTTCATCTGTACAAACAATAGTACGCAAGTATAAACACCATGGGACCACGCAGCCATCATACCGCTCAGGAAGGAGACGCGTTCTGTCTCCCAGAGATGAACGTACTTTGGTGCGAAAATTGCAAATCAATCCCAGAACAACAGCAAAGTACCTTGTGAAGATGCTGGAGGAAACAGGTACAAAAGTATCTATATCCACAGTAAAACGAGTCCTATATCAACATAACCTGAAAGGCCGGTCAGCAAGAAAGAAGCCACTGCTCCAAAACCACCATAAAAAAGCCAGACTACGGTTTGCAACTGCACATGGGGACAAAGATCGTACTTTTTGGAGAAATGTCCTCTGGTCTGATTAAACAAAAATATAACTGTTTGGCTAAAAATACCATCGTTTTGTTTGGAGGAAAAAGGGGGTTGCTTGCAAGCCGAAGAACACCATCCCAACCGTGAAGCACGGGGGTGGCAGCATCATGCTGTGGGGGTGCATTGCTGCAGGAGGGACTGGTGCACTTCACAAAATAGATGGCATCATGAGGAAGGAAAATTATGTGGATATATTGAAGCAACATCTCAAGACATCAGTCAGGAAGTTAAAGCTTGGTCGCAAATGGGTCTTCCAAATGGACAATGACCCCAAGCATACTTCCAAAGTTGTGGCAAAATGCCTTAAGGACAACAAAGTCAAGGTATTGGAGTGGCCATCACAAAGCCCTGACCTCAATCCTATAGAAAATGTGTGGGCAGAACTGAAAAAGCATGTGTGAGCAAGGAGGCCTACGAACCTGACTCAGTTACACCAGCTCTGTCAGGAGGAATGGGCCAAAATTCACCCAACTTATTGTGGGAAGCTTGTGGAAGGCTACCCGACATGTTTGACCTAAGTTAAACAATTTAAAGGCAATGCTACCAAATACTAATTGAGTGTATGTAAACTTCTGACCCACTGGGAATGTGATGAAAGAAATAAAAGCTGAAATAAATAATTCTCTATACTATTATTCTGACATTTCACATTCTTAAAATAAAGTGGTGATCCTAACTGACCTAAGGCAGGGAATTTTTACTAGGATAAAATGTCAGGAATTGGGAAGAACTGAGTTTAAATGTATTTGGCTAAGGTGTAGGTAAACTTCCAACTTCAATTGTATACAGACAGACACATACACAGAGAAACACACACACACAGAGAGAACCACACACACACACACACACACACAGAAACACACTCAGAGAAACACACACACACACACACACACACACACACACACAGAGAAACACACACAGAGAAACACACACAGAGAAACACACACACACACACACACACACTGAGAGAAACACACACACACACACACACAGAGAAACACACAGAGAGAAACACACACACACACACACACACACACACACACACACACAGAGAAACACACACACACACACACACACACACACACAGACACACAGAGAAACACACACACACACACATTCTTAAAATAGTCCTTTAACTCAGGACACTGTAATCTCCAATCAAGTTCCAGATGTAAACAGATGTCTGTCCTTAGTCAGTCTGAGTCCCAAATGGCACCCTATTTACATAGTGCACTACTTTTGACCAGATCATTGGCCCTGGTCAAAAGGTAGTTCCCCTTAGGGAATAGGGTGCCTTTTGGGACATAGCCTCAGTCTTTATCCTGTGGATGGATCCCTTCCCACTTCTCAGCTCTGCTCTGGGTCATCATACTCCATAATACCCCATAGTAGGCACGCAACGCAGAGATGATATTTGTTCTCTGTTTCAAAACATTTTGATTTGCTACTGCCCTACTGAACATGACCCAGGTGTTGACTTATTAGGGGATATTCTCACTGTCTGGGCAGTGGTTGACTTATTAGGGGATATTCTCACTGTCTGGGCAGCGGTTGACTTGTTAGGGGATATTCTCACTGTCTGGGCAGTGGTTGGTGTACGACTAGACTTAATAGATACAGTAGCTATCGTGTGTATGTAATGTCCCCTGAGTGTAGTAGTAGCTAATACCTGATAAATAGATGTATGATATTATAATAGATGTGTGTGTGTGTAATTATACCTGACAGTCCAGAGTCTTCCTCACTGTTCTCTCCCTCCTCTACAGCCTTTTCTAGGTTGCTTAGCGACTTGCTGCGCGTCCTGAAGTTCCGGAGCAGGTTCCGGTGTTCCTGGTACGTGATTGGTGGGCTCTCTGGGCCGATGTGGACTGGGCGGGGCGTCCCATAGTAGTTACCTGATAGGTAAGGAGAGAGAGGGAACAGTCAAGTGTGTTTAACCATCAGTGGGAAGTGGATCCAGCCCATAGCTCTGTCTATGAATTTGAGAGTTGCAAAAAAAAATGTAAATAAAACGTTGACTAAACTTGAACTGTGTGAATATTTACATTAAATTATAAATTAAAGCATACAGTACATCACAAGACGCACACACACACACACACACACACACACACACACACACACACACACACACACACACACACACACACACACACACACACACACACACACACACACACACACACACACACACACACACACACACACACACACACACACACACACACACACACACACACACAGTACTTCAAATGGAATACGGAGACATTGAGTAAATGAAGTGGAACAAATGCAAACTTAAAAGGAATAAATGTCTATGAGAGCCGAACACTAAAACTTTTCTCTGCGATAACATTCGTCCGCTATTTGAATTGCAGTCAGCATTACACAAATCATTTTATGGAGCCCATTAAAAAAAAACGATGTACTCCGTTTACTACTCACTCTTGAACTTGCCACTCTCCAGCAGGGCTCCAGACTCTTCCAGGGAAAAGAACTCTTCTACGGAGACAAAGTTGTAATCCACCCCTGATATCTCCCCGTCGCGAGGCTGTCTGGTCGTGCCTGGAATGGGACAGGTAACATTAGGACAGGTAAGGGTAGAACCGGCTAGAACCCTATCACAGCAGCAGCAGCAGCAGTCAGGATAAAGTTATAGTCCACCCGTGAGATCTCCTCGTACCGAGGCTGTCTGATCGTACCAGCAGGTGCATACGTACGCAATGTTACCTCTCTGGCACCTGCAGCAGGACCACTGGTAATGTTACTTTATTGTAGCACAGGTAGATAAATTATACAACAATAAAATAGTTTTATATCCCAACGTTCAGGACCAGGACACACCTGAAACCATTCTCAGCCAGCAGCAGGGAACAACCAGCAGCATGAGCAGCATGTTCAAAACGTAGATATTTTATCAGGTAAGTTGACTGAGAACATTTTCTCTTCTTTTTTACAGCAACAACCTGGGGAATAGTTACAGGGGGAGAGGAAAGGGGGATGAATGAGCCAATTGGAAGCTGGGGATGATGAGGTGGCCATGATGGTAACAACCCCTACTCTTACGATAAGTGCCATGGGATCTTTAGTGATCAGAGAGTCGGGACACCCATTTAACATCCCCATCCAAAAGACTGCAACCTACACAGGGCAATATCCCCAAATCACTGCCCTGGGGCATTAGGATATTTATTTTATGGGACCAGAGGTAAGAGTGCCTCCTACTGGTCCTCCAACATGACTTCCAGAACCATCTGGTCTCCCATCCAGGGACCGACCATGACCAACCCTGCTTAACTTCAGAAGCAAGCCAGCAGTGGGGATGCAGGGTGGTATGCGGCTGGGATGCAGGGTGGTATGCTGCTGGGATGCAGGGTGGTATGCGGCTGGGATGCAGGGTGGTATGCTGCTGGGATGCAGGGTGGTATGCTGCTGGGATGCAGGGTGGTATGCTGCTGGGATGCAGGGTGGTATGCGGCTGGATGCAGGTGTATTGCTGGATGCAGGTGGTATGCTGCTGATGCAGGGTGGTATGCAGTTGGGAGCAAGTGTATATGCCTTGGGATCAGGTGGTATATGCGCGTGGGAGCAGGGGTGGTATGCGTTACATTGACCCGAGCAGGTGTATGCGCAGCGGATCAGGGTGGTTCAGTATGCTGCTGGTCAGGGTGGATGCGGCTGGGATCAGGGTTGGCTGTCATGGCGTGCTGGATCAGGTGGTATGCGCTGGATCAGGTGGTATGCGTGGATGCAGGGTGGTATGCGGCTGGGATGCAGGGTGGTATGCTGCTGGGATGCAGGGTGGTATGCTGTTGGGATGCAGGGTGGTATGCGGCTGGGATGCAGGGTGGTATGCGGCTGGGATGCAGGGTGGTATGCGGCTGGGATGCAGGGTGGTATGCTGCTGGGATGCAGGGTGGTATGCGGCTGGGATGCAGGGTGGTATGCGGCGGGATGCAGGGTGGTAGCGGCTGGGATGCAGGGTGGTATGCTGCTGGGATGCAGGGTGGTATGCTGCTGGGATGCAGGGTGGTATGCTGCTGGGATGCAGGGTGGTATGCTGCTGGGATGCAGGGTGGTATGCTGCTGGGATGCAGGGTGGTATGCTGCTGGGATGCAGGGTGGTATGCTGCTGGGATGCAGGGTGGTATGCGGCTGGGATGCAGGGTGGTATGCTGCTGGGCAAATGGAAGAGATCAACTAAAATCAACCTAATACGATAGATTCGGAATACATACTTAATGAAAGTGTAAATGCAAGAATTAGGCCACACATATGTACTATAGGCCTTATATATTATAATAACATAGCCGTGAAAGAGAGAGGGGGGGACATGTCGTCTACCATTCAGTCACCTCTGAAAGGCTGTGTGCTGTTACCCAACAAGGACAAACAGCACATCCACTTCAACAAACGTTCGTTCCACGCTCCATCGTGCTAATATCATCAACTCGCTGTGTGTGTGCGTGCGCGCATGTGACAAACGATTCCATCTGATACTTCTGCTTTCTGGAATACACAGGTTTGCCTGCTAAGTTACATTGAGAACTTTGTAAATATCAAGGCCTTTATCAGGTGTAAAGTCTATCAATACCAAAGCCTTTATCAGGTGTAAAGTCTATCAATACCAAAGCCTTTATCAGGTGTAAAGTCTATCAATACCAAAGCCTTTATCAGGTGTAAAGTCTATCAATACCAAAGCCTTTATCAGGTGTAAAGTCTAGCAATACCAAAGCCTTTATCAGGTGTAAAGTCTATCAATACCAAAGCCTTTATCAGGTGTAAAGTCTTTCAATACCAAAGCCTTTATCAGGTGTAAAGTCTATCAATACCAAAGCCTTTATCAGGTGTAAAGTATATCAATACCAAAGCCTTTATCAGGTGTAAAGTCTATCAATACCAAAGCCTTATCAGGTGTAAAGTCTTTCAATACCAAAGCCTTTATCAGGTGTAAAGTCTATGCAATACCAAAGCCTTTATCAGGTGTAAAGTCTATCAATACCAAAGCTTTATCAGGTGTAAAGTCTATCAATACCAAAGCCTTTATCAGGTGTAAAGTCTATCAATACCAAAGCCTTTATCAGGTGGTAAAGTCTATCAATACCAAAGCCTTTATCAGGTGTAAAGTCTAGTCAATACCAAAGCCTTTATCAGGTGTAAAGTCTATCATCCAAAGCCTTATCGGTAAAGTCTATCAATACAAGCCTTATCAGGTGTAAGTCTTCAATACTAAAGCTTTACAGGTGTAAAGTCTATCAATACCAAAGCCTTTATCAGGTTGTAAAGTATATCAATACCAAGCCTTTATCAGGTGTAAAGTCTATCAATACCAAAGCCTTTATCAGGTGGAAAGTCTATCAATACCAAGCCTTTATCAGGTGTAAAGTATATCAATACCAAAGCCTTTATCAGGTGTAAAGTCTATCAATACCAAAGCCTTTATCAGGTGTAAAGTCTATCAATACCAAGGCCTTTATCAGGTGTAAAGTCTATCAATACCAAAGCCTTTATCAGGTGTAAAGTCTATCAATACCAAAGCCTTTATCAGGTGTAAAGTCTATCAATACCAAAGCCTTTATCAGGTGTAAAGTCTATCAATAACTAAGCTTACAGTACACAAATGTGCCGTTGCACACTCTGTTATTTCACATGAATGGAAAAACTGCATCCAAACATGTAGAATAGTGGTTGACATGGAGCCATGAGGCTGGAGGAGAAAGGTTTTGTTGGGGGAACACACCTGCATCCCAAATGGAACTCTATAGACAGTAGTGCACTGCTTATGACCAGGGCCCTTTGACAGGGCCTTATGTAGAGACAAGGCTGCCATTTGGGAGGCAGACCAACAACAAGCAGCAGTCTGTCACAATGAATCAGCTTACTGGCCTGACGCTTGATGACAGTTGCTATAGAAACAGGTCAGTCACTGAAACTGTTCACTTCTTCTCCTTTTTTTCTTCTCCTGATTTGTTTTTTAATGCGAGCAGCACCCGCCTGCCTGGCAGGAAGATTCCAGCAGCACCCGCCTGCCTGGCAGCAAGATTCCAGCAGCACCCGCCTGCCTGTTAGCGCTCTCTTTCAGATGATGACATCATGTGTGATTGAGTTGATCTGATTATACAAATGTAGGATCTTAATTTGAGCCATTTTCCTTTAGCAGAAAAATAATCCTGCAGCAACAGGAATGTGAATTATTATGTGGATTATAAGTAAATGGACATTTTTGTAGGTTTTGATCAATTTTTCGTAAGGGAAAACCAAGACTGAAATTTCAAAGTGGAAATTACAAACTTCAGAAGCCATTTTAAACCTTAAATACACTACAAGTTATCCTGCAACAAGGGTGATCAAATTAAAATCCTACATCTGTAAGGGCATGAGTACATAAAAATGTGTTATGGTAAGTATTTGTGTGTGTGTGTGAGTGAGTGTGTGATTGCTTGATGTTCGTGGAGGGGGTGTGGGTGGAAGGGGTGGAAGGGGTATGTGTGTGGGGGGTGGAGGGGGTGGAGGGGGTGGAAGGGGTATGTGTGTGGGGGGTGGAGGGGGTGGTGGGGGTGGAGCGTGTGTGTGTGTGTGGGGGGGGGGGGTACACAGCTTGGAGGTAGAAGTGTAGGGGCCTGGCAGCATTCAGAAAGTATTCAGACCCCTTCCCTTTTCTCACATTTTGTTACGTTACAGCCTTCTTCTAAAATTTATTAAATCTACACACAATACCCCATAATGACAAAGCAAAAACAGGTTTTTAGAAAAGTGGCTTCGGGACAAGTCTCTGAATGTCCTTGAGTGGCCCAGCCAGAGCCCGGACTTGAACCCGATCGAACATCTCTGGAGAGACCTGAAAATAGGGGTGCAGCGACACTCCACATCCAACCTGACAGAGCTTGAGAGGATCTGCAGAGAAGAATGGGAGAAACTCCCCAAATACAGGTGTGCCAAGCATGTAGCGTCATACCCAAGAAGACTTGAGGCTGTAATCGCTGCCAATGGTGCTTCAACAAAGTACTGAGTAAAGGTTCTGAATACTACTTTTATTTATTTTTACATTTGCAAAAATGTCTACAAACCTGTTTTTGCTTTGTCATTATGGGGGTATTGTGTGTAGATTGATGAGGGGGGAAAAAAAACAATTTAAATCAATTTTAGAATAAAGGTTGTAACGTAAACAAAATGTGGAAAGAAGTTATCACATTGCTACTCACAGGGGACGGCTCGGAGGTAGAGGTTCTCCCTGATCACCTGCTGTAGTTGGCTGTCCATGGATCCTGGAGTAAAACACTTACTCAGGTACAGCCTCAGGTCCTTGCACAGAGTAGAGCCTGCACGAGAGAGACAGGACATACTGGGTGTTATAAGACGTTAGCAATAAACGGTACACCCAAAGACGTCGTGAAGGACACACAAATACACCCAGAGCTGTAGGGAAGGACACACAAATACACCCAGAGCTGTAGTGAAGGACACACAAATACACCCAGAGCTGTAGTGAAGGACACACAAATACACCCAGAGCTGTAGTGAAGGACACACACATACACCCAGAGCTGTAGTGAAGGACACACAAATACACCCAGAGCTGTAGGGAAGGACACACAAATACACCCAGAGACGTAGTGAAGGACACACAAATACACCCAGAGACGTAGTGAAGGATCCATTTCAGGCATTACAGTCACAGTGTTATCCCCTGGTCCTCTGTAGCTCAGCTGGTAGA